GCTGTGAGACAGGCAGCTGCTGTGGACAGTGGCCGATGTTGGGCCCCGTTGGGGTGTAAGAGACCTGCACCCCAAGAACCTCACGCCAGGCGCCAAGTCTCGCGCTGGTCCTCATTCTCAGGCCCATGTTTATCCAAGTATCCAGGGCCTTGAAACCCAACCCACCTCCACCCCCGCCCACTGGTATCTGTTCTCCCAAGATGCTCCCAAACCTTGGCCAGAGGCCCTGTGAGCCAGGGACCTCCCTGTGTCGCCTCAGGGCCTGGATTCTAGGCGAGGAGTAGTGCCTCAAATTTTGCTCAGTGAGTGGCAGCCACGTGGTACAGAACATCCCCTCAGTCTGTCCCCAGGGGCTCACCGCCCATGGCCAGACCGGCTCCAGGCGCGATGCACATCTCAGTCCCCCACTCCCCCCAGTGGTTAACTGCAATCCCTCTGGGACAAACACGACCACAGGAAAGTGAGCTAACTCCTCTGAGGAGTTGGGGTGCAGTCACGGACAGTGGGCAGTCCCAGTGAAGCCGCTCGGGGACCGGGAGCCCAGCTGCACACCGGGCCACAGTTCACAGCACTGCCCCGACACCCGAGTTTGAGGGCAGATCTCATGCTAAGTGTTCTCCCCACAGCTAACTTTTATACAGAGAGGATATAAAAATAAAAGGCCTCCCGTTACAAAAACCAAACCACCAAATGTACTAAGCACCTACTTTGTGCCACAACCTTCTCGGTGCTGGGGCTACAGCAGTGAAAGCCGTCCCTGCCCTCGGGGAGCTCACGATGGAGGGGGAAGACCCCAAACGGAACTGTGCCAAGTGCCAGGAAGCAGGGAGGAGGGATGTGCCAGCAGGGACGGTGGGGACGCTGGGGAGGGCCCTCCTACAGAACCAGTACTCGGAGTTAAGAGGAGGCGGCCGCTCGCGTGGAGTCTGGGGGATCATCGGGCGAAGGAAAGACGCGGCAAAGGCCTGCGGCCTGCTCACAGCTGGCGCCTGCTCCTCCTCACAGCCCGCCATCTCGTTCCCAATAAAATCCAGCTGGCCCGGCTGTCTGTCCGCCTTGTGTTCGTCCCACCATCACTTTCCCTTCCAGGCTGAAGCGGTCCCCCCAGCCCACCCCCGTGGGGCCCACACTCTGGGACTGCAAACCTCACCTCTAGGAGTTACGGAATTCAACGTCCAGCCGTCAGTGAGCTCTCTCCTGAGCCAAACCTGCACACCCCACCCCCCCACCCACCAAGG